GGCCAAATCAGATTTTATCTTTCCTGTTTTCTCCATTTTAACAGTTTGAAATATTCAGCTGTAGCCACAAACAACTCATGGTAGTGGAGGACCACTGGAGTGAGGATATGTGCTGTAGATCCTCTGGAACAATGTGGACTTAAACCAAGAGACAAAGACAAACGCATATGGGATAGTAATGGAAAGATACATGTATGTCCAGGTCCCTTTATACATATAAGTTCTGTATCCATTCCAGTCTTTTTTACATGCATCATTTTAAAACTTGTTGTATTGTTTTAAAGAGTAAAACATTCTAGCAACACGCAATTCGATTTTTTTTTTTTTTTTGATGGAAAAATGGCTCATTTTGCTACAAGCATGCTCCCTGGAATTGTCATATGGACTTAAAGCTACCTGGTTAAAAATATAAGAAGGCCTATAACTCAAGTAGCTCTGTTAATATGAAAACTGTAGGTAGAGAAAGCTTCAGTCCAGCCTAATCCTTATCAAAGCCTCAATCCGAATCTGATGCACTGTCAGGTTACCCAGAGTCTTCAGAGAACAGTCTGTGGACTCACTTACTCATGTGGTTTGAATGATTTTAATGATTTGATCAGTTGAGTAATTCTCCCCATGTATCTCTAATTGTACCAGCATGAAAGAGCTCACATAAACATCATTTCTGTGTAACTTATGCCCATATCAGAAGGCAAAAGAGCTACAGCAATGTACATCAGTGCAGTCTGGAGCCACACTTGGGATTTCACTAACAAACGTAATTCAGTTCAAAAAATCTACTCCAACTGGCATAATTGTTCTGTTACAGGCTTTCGTCATCTTTTGTATCTTGGCTGCATGTGTTTTTTTTTTTTTTTTTTTTTTTTTGTGGTTTCCGATTCTTTGTTTACTGATGATACGCTTTCCTTAGCTTATGAGGTCAAAACGAAGCCTGAACGCAAAGAGCTACAAGCGAAGTGACCAAACTTGGCAGCTGGACCCTTTCTTAGTTTCCCACAGCTTGTACATTCACCAGAGCCCAAAATAGCCAAACTCCTGAGATGCACATACAGTAAGAGATACTGCTTATAATGGTAGTTTCGTTGCAGTTTCAAAAACAAAAACAAACAACAAAAAAAACCACCATATTTACTCTATTTTCAGTACTGGTGCCTAAGAGCTTGCTGGTGTAAGCCAGCAATCCAAGTGAGCAGCACTCTGCTGGGGCTGGTGAGAGTTAGCTCAGGGATACCTGAATGGCACTGCATTGGCCCGCACAGATGCTGTCACCTTCCAGGCGTATTAGTACTCTCTTTTGGAATGTTTTTGAGCCCTTAGAGCTGAATTCCCTCTCCTGCTCTTTCTACAAGATCCCAGAAATACTGCTGGGTCTCAACCAATGCTCACCAATTCTTCTTTGCTTTATGAAATCAAAATGCTGCAGTTTTTGCAGCATGGACTGTTGTTGTACAGAACTGCATAGGTTGTTTGGGGACTAAGGGAGTAGTTGTATGGCTGAGCACCATGGTTTCACCATCCTCTTCTGCTGCTGTTAAAATGGGATTGCCACCAAGCAAGGCAGCTCTGTGCTTTCCCTTCCCAGCCTCCTTCTTCCAGCCCCTTCACTGCCTTCTGCCACTGTGTCTGTCCTTGTGCCACTACAAACAGGTATGGTGATGCAGATGGGGAATTGATATGCTTTTGATTAAGACTAAAATCTTTTTGTCTACCTTGAGTTTGTTTTAGCCTAAACAGTTCCCAGCTCCCTGCTCCTGTTTCCCATGAAGGGGGCATGGCAGGAAGCTAGAACAAGTGGCTGTTTCTGGAGAGACTGCTGCTCTCAACAGCAACGCCCGGCTTAGCTGACTGTAAAATGACAATTTGATTTCCAGCTAGCAAGGCTAATCCCCCTGTGCTGTCTGCACGGACAATAGGCCATTCAGGGAGATGGAGCTGGGCTGAATCAGCCACTAGAGGGGCCTCCCTCCCGTGACCAGCTGTACAGCAGCGCTGCAGGGGCTGGCTGAAGTTTGTGTCTCTGCTAGAACTAGGCACTGTGATTTTGAATACAAAAATCTACAACGAGCTTTCATCCCTGAGTGCTGACTTTCACTGGCTTGTATTTTAAAAGCTGCTGGTCTGGAGTGCATTTGGGCATTTCCAAACAACAGCAGAGTTTTGCCAGAATTTGGGCACAAACCAACCATAAACTGGAAAAGCTCAGCTTCCCTCACATGTCCTCTACTAACCGCTGCAAAATAGGTCACATCTGGCCTTTTTACCAATCTTGCAGTAAGAAATCTGTCATGGATGTGGCAGAGAGCTGAGCAAATGGTAGCCCACCGTGCTTCTCGTTCACGTCTCTCCAGCTGCCTCACTGGTGAGGACCAGCCCCAGTGCTGTGCAACACCAGGGCTCTCCTTCATGCCTGTCAAAGCCAAGGAGAAGCTGCAGTGCGGTGCGTGCAGGGTTTTGTCGTGCTCCCTCCTGCCTAGAGCCACGTTCCAGCAGTACCATGTCAGCACGTCACCCAACACAGTGGTGGGACTGGCTGGAGAAAGCGAAGGCCTCTCCTGGCATGGAAGGCTCAGCCCTTCCTCTTGACTATCTGCTGCAGAGTAACATCTGCCCTGCAGACAGAAAGGGCATTAAAATAAAATAGAAAAAGCTAAACTGCAGGCAGTGAAAATAACATCACCTTCTTTTTTCCACTCACTGCGAAACATTCAGCCATGATTTTGCCAGGTGATGAGACAATTGTTCTTAATCATTCATTGAGAAAATATACTTCAATAACTAGCGAAATGAATGGAGATGCCTCATCTTATTCCAAAGTGAACTCCCATGGAATTTCACTGACTTGTACCACGTGGCAAGTGTCCAACCTCATCTGAGCCCCTGCATGTGTTGAAAGGGGTAGAAGATAAGGTGTGAGAGGTTCCACCTAAAGCAAGGAAACCTGCTTTGACCTGCAGCTGAAGCTAAGATGAAGAGGAAGATAGTGCTGACTGCTGGAGGGCTCGAGATCTTAATCAGCCCTCACCCCTTTAATTAGCATGAAGCAGCTCATGAGTTGCAGCTTACAGCATCAGGCCATAGAAAATCGCGGGAATAATCAGCCTGCTCCTGATCAGGAATTGGGTAAACATTACCCTGGGGCTTCGTGTGGTCACAGGTTTGGCATTGCCTGAACTGGCTCTGCAATGTAAACAGAGGATTGTAATGCAGTTAGCAACATTATGCAGCAAAGCACAGTGCAGTGGCTCACCATTTGAAATACATTTCTCACATCTGAAATTGTTCAAGGGTTAAGATATAAAAAAAAAAGAAAGAAAAGAAAAGAAAAAAAAAAGCAGTTTGAAAGGGATTTACTGCTCTCTCTTTCCTAGGATTGAATCTCATGTCTGATATATGTCATTCAATTTTGCCTAAACTGGAGCAAAACAAATTCCCACTTTGTAGCTCCTGTTTCATTTCTGTAAGAGCCAGGAATGCTTAACACCTCTGAAAACCTGCTCTCCCATAGCTGGAAAGAAGTTCATAAATCTTTCTGTCTCTGCAGACTGTGCTTTAAATTGGTCTGAAACTGACATTTCTTAAAGAAAAAACATTCAGAAAGAAATCATTTAGGAAGATGGCTTCAATTATGTCATGTTTCAATGCATCCCTATTCCATTATGATATAAATATGAATCTTGAGCTTAATATGCTAACGCAAATCATAATGAAGCCTAAAAATAAAGCCAGTGAAGTGATAGCTGAAATAAAGCATTGATTTGAAAAGAGAAAACAGACTGTTTCAGGATTCTTTATTTTGATGATGTCTGATTAAGTCTTGCTTCGAGTTACACATTTTCCTGAAGTTACCATGCTTTCTTGAAATGTATAAACGTCAGTGAAATGTTTTGCAGCAGAAACCGTGCTACCTACTGGTTCCAATTGCATTTGTGAACTGTGCAAAAATACGTGAATGTTATTCAGATCGCGTGCTCCAAAAAAATAAAGGTTACACTGTATTAGCGGCAAATAATTTGATTATCCGAAGTAGAAAAATAAACATTTATTATCCAAGGCCCCTGCAAATGGACAAGGAGTACTACTTTATAGGTTTTCCAACAACTTCAGTGTGAGCTGTTTGTAGGCGACTCCACTCCCCACATACTTTCCAATATACCCCTGGCTCAGGATGACTTCACTGTTAATGTAAATAACGAAAGGAATGTAAAACGGTCTCTACCTACTCCCTAGGCCAACGACCCCTTTCATATTTCTTAAGGCTTCCCTGGCTTTACCCCTTCCTTCCCTCGGACGGGCGCTCCCACCAGTTTCCGATGCCCTGCTGAGGCTGCGAGGCCGCACTCGCGGTGGCACCGTGAGTCAGCACAGCCACAGCTGCACAGCCCGAGAGCATCGTCCACGTCTCAGGTGCTGCCAAACCCCTGCGAAGGAATCATTCTTCTACCCCCCGAAAAGAGAAGACCAAAACCAAAACACGAGTCAACCCACGAGCATTTGGGGTGGGTGATACTCATGTTGGATCGAGGGGAGAAAGAAGGGTGGGGAAATAATGCTGGGGCTGTGAGGTGCCACAGTAACTCAGACTGAAGTATTCTTCATCTGGAATCAGAGGAGAGCAGCTGCCAAGGCATTCAGGAATGCACTTCTCACAAAAAAAAAAAAAAAAAAAGGAGGAGGAGGGGTGAATGCCAGCTCATGCTGGCGCTGGACCCTCGCCTCCTGAAAAAAATGAAGTTAAAGGACAAGTAGCTGTTATTGAAAGTTCCGTGTAAGCCCTTCCAGACGCTTGCCAAGTGCTGGCAGAAGGCAGACCCTGGGCTGCGCGGCCAGAACTCACATCTTTACTCATTTTCGTTATTTTTGCCGTGAAGGACGCAGCCCCGCGGCAACTCCGGGCACCTCGGCCCCGGCCCCGGCACCGCACCGGGGGCTGCGGGGCGGGCCCGGCCGGGCTGCACGGGGCGGGGCCGGAGCCAGGGCCGGGGCGGAGGGAGGGAGGGACGAGGAGGAGGAGGAGGAGGAGGAGGAGGAGGAAGTGGAGGCGGCTGCGAATAGCGGGCAAATGGGGAGCTGAGCGGCTGCAGCAGCACCGCGCAGCAGCACCAGCAGCAGCAGCAGCGGAGCCGAGCCGGCAGCGGGGTCCGTGCAGGCGGGGTCCGTGCAGGGGGGCGGCCCGGGCTCGGCTCGGCTCGGCTCAGCTCAGCACGGCTCGGCTGGGGGACAGCGGCTTCGTGCCGGCTGTGCCGTGCCGTGCTGGGCTGTGCCGTGCTGGCGGCAGGGTCTCGCCGTGTCGGGGCCGGGCTCGCTGCCCGCCGTGCGGGGCAGGGCCTGCCGCGGCCGGCTCGCTGCGGCGGCGCGGCGCCGGGTCCTCCCTCGGCAGAGCCGTCTGATCGCTCTCCCTTTCTCTCTCTCTCTCTCTCTCTCTTTTATTTTTTATTTTAAATTTGAAGCCGTCGCTCCGCGGACGCCGAGTGCGAGCAGCAGCAGCAGCAGCAGCAGCCGGGGCGCCCGGGAGAAGCGCGCCCGGCACCATGCAGACCTTCCTGAAGGGGAAGCGGGTGGGCTACTGGCTGAGCGAGAAGAAGATCAGGAAGCTCAATTTCCAGGCCTTCGCCGAGCTCTGCCGGTAAGCGGGCGGCACGGCGCCGGGGACGGGGCCTGCGCCCTCCCGGCCGGCTGCGGGGCGCTTTGGGGGCGCTTTGGGGCTGCCCCGGAGCCCTGCCCGGCCCCCGCTCGGGGCTCGGCGGCTCCCGCAGCCCGGCCGGCCCCGGGGAGCGGGGGCAACTTCGTGCCCTGTGTCCCGGCCCCTCGGGAGCCCGGCTGGAGCTGGGACGGGGAGGGGGCGGCTGCAGCGGGGTCCCCGGGTGCGAGGGGCTTTGGGGAGCTGCAGCGGGGCTTTGCCGGGGGAGCTGCGAGGATCGCACGCACGCTGTGTTGCACAACCGATTTTATTGCTGGAGTGGAAGCGTGAACTTCATATAGGTCCAAGGTCTCGTGACACATGCATTATAGCCTCTGAAGAACAGCTTTTTTTTTCTTATTTCATTCCATTACTACGTTTATATCAAGGGTACAACATAAACTTTGGTCATTGAAAATGTCCTAAGTCACCATTTTCATAATTTCTGCAAAGTCTGCTTGGACTTTGTAGAACACATTTTCTAAGACTTCAGGTAGGCTTTATTAAAGCATGTCATGCTAAAACCAGCAGTGCCCGCATTCTGAATTCCTGCTGGCAGCGCTGGTTCTTCTCTGCAAAGACGAAGGAGGCACAAGAAGCAAGAAACTATTTTGAGAAAGCAGCAGAAGCTTTTGCATCAGCTTGTGTTCTTGGCATTCGGTATCTGCTCTGTCAAACCTCAGCAAAACTTACCAGATTTTCTTAAAATATAGAAAGGACCGCAAGTTCTGGTTTAATGTCTTTTTAAGTTTCATGTGGTTCTCCAAACAAAATACTTCCGAAAGAGCGATGCCAAGTTTTGAGCCTGCCTGAGCGACTTTTTTTTTTTCTTTTTTTGTGATGCTTGAAAATATGCATTAACTTCTAATAAGTGTTAGAGAAATGCTGTTGTTACGGCCTTGATGTTTGGTATGGGTTGGGTTTCATAAGCAGAAGCTGAGGGGAATCTTAGAAAGTACATAACTGGCTTCTCATAGTTAATTGCTTTTCATTCCTGTTATCATACGCGGTACTTTATGTTTAGGAATCTCCAAAGGTGACTGTCTGCCCTCCGCTGTTCTTGTTTCTCTTTTTGACTATGTGCTTTGCTTTACTTTCTCTGCTTCAGAAATTCTTTATGCTTATGTTTCATAACATAGATACGCAATTTCTTTGTGTATTGTACAAATTTATTAATAGTTTTAAGTCCTGGCAGTGCTATGAAAATTGACCCCAAAGTGTCTCTCTTGCTACATTTTCCCAATTTTGTGATGCAAATTAGGCTACCGCACTCTGTACAAGCTGAGGTTGCTTTGAATACCATTTGCAGATGTTGGATAGATATGTCCATTTAATCATGCTTCAATTATTTTCTTTTAAAAGGCATTTAGTATTAGTCTGTTTGTAGAAGTGGAGTTAAGTGTTGGGTTTAAAGATCAATGCAGTTGTTGGAGCAAGTTGCTCTGTTGCCTATCCTGGTAACATCCAATGATACCAGTGGGAGGCCCCGTTCATTTAGGCAAAGATTTTGTGTATTTTATGAGTAATATCTACTTGATTACTTGCGTATTTATATGCTTTTATTGCGGCAGAAAAAGTAGTGCCAAGCTCAACATACATCTTACCAGAAATATTGTGCATAGTAGGAAACAAGGCAAGTGTACTCATTCCTGTACAGTGATTCATGCGTTAGAGTGGACTATGTGTCTGTCTGTCTACTCTATGTATTTTATGGTGACTGTTACTGGGATTTTATTTGCCTGTTGCCTAGGGATATACTTTCTGGATGACTACAAAGTTCAGTTTTGTTTGTACGAGTTTGCAATGAAGCAGTTATATAACCCAGGAAAGTAACAGAAGACGCCTAATGAACTCCTCAAGTGTGCTGTTTTTAGACCCGGAGTATTGTAGGGATAAGAAAAGTCTTCAATTTTTTGCAGTCTGCCAGCACAGCCAGCTCTAGCGTGAGGCACCAGTGCCACAGAGGGATTAGGGACAGACACTTCAAAAACAGCTTGAGCCATCCTCTGGGAGACGGTCTAAGTACTGAACGGCTTTCCTAGGAGTGGTTTCAGGTTTTGTCTCCAGCAGCACTCCAGTACTGAAACACTATGAAAGACACTAGCTGAAACAAAATGTGAGTGAGCAGCGTGAGTGCACCCGCAGTGAAGGTGCTGCTCTGGGGCACAGGCAGCCCTGTCTTCAGGTCCGTGCTCTGCAGAGACCAGGCAGGTCCCTTAACGTTGTCCTGGTGTTTGCATCCAGCTTTGATGCCCAACCTAGGCTGGGGTTTGGTTAGGTTCCCTGTTAAATTTTGGCATCTGAGTCCTTCCAAGTGGTTTTGTGAAGAAGAAGGAAAAAAAAATTGTAGGCGCCTGCTTTCTGTTTTGTTTGTTTGTTTTTAATTTTTGCTTCGTGATACAAATCTCCTCAGGTGTGTAGGTCTGGAACAGCCCTGTCCTGCCTGACCGCAGTGTCTGGGATGTTTGCCTAAACTTTGTATTCACAAGGTAACAGGCCTTGTATTGAGGGCCGTCGAGCTCACCTATGCTTGTGGTCCTCACTGCGGCACACCAGCGATGTCCTGCCAGGGCTTTATTCTTCATGGAGCATGCAGCCTTGTCTGTGCCTCCCAGACATAGCCTGAGGAGATGAAAGCAGTGGCCATGGTGGTACCTACATCTGCGTTTATAGCCCAGGCAGTGGTTCCCAATTTGGGTTGCGTCCCAGTGCAACCCTTAATGCTTCCACAGCCCCGGGGCTGTGCTTGGAGAGCTGCTGACCTGGAGGACAGAGAGCTTGTCTGGGGAAGCTGCGTTTGAGCCTGCAGCCATTAACTCCAGAGGGAGGCTGAACCTGGGGCAGGGGCCAGGCTCACTCCTGTCCTCCGTCTGGACCTGCCACCACACCACAGGACAGTCACCCTGCTTGTGTCTGGCCTCTGCTTCCCACACCGGTTTTCAGTTCCACCCAGCGACTGCTTTCTGCCTAAGCTGTCCGCACAGCGAGGCTTCTGCGTTCCTCGGCGTGCCCTCGCCGGTACCATGACGCTCCCCTGCGAGCGGTGCGAGCTGTGACGCAGGGCTGAGCTCCTCTGCCTGGAACAGGCCTCTTGCTGCCTTGCTCAATTTGTTAGTCAGGAGGCGATCAAAGAAGCTACTGCTGCCAAGCTGGCCCCTGCTTTTGAGTGAAAGCTGCTAGGTCGCCGTGCTTTGTGTCGAGTTGGGTACCCCCTGCGTGCTGCCATATGTGCCGCACCTGCGCGGCCAGGCCCCCCGCGGCTGTGGTGTGGGGATCCCTGGCCTCTGCGTCTCCCGCCTGCTTTCCTTGGTGCGGCGTTCAGCTCCACCAAGGCATGGCACCGTTTCAAAGCTTTAGGTAGCTGGCTCGTGGTAAAATGCAGAGTATCTGTGGCCCACTAAAAAGTCAGGCGAGGTTTCTAAGGGGCTCCTAAGTGAGAAGTTAGGAGCGTGTGGTGTGAAAATGTAGTTCTGGTGTTGTCATGTGTCTTGCTGCTGAAAGGAACAGTTCCCCCTTCTTCCAGCTGTTTGGCCTCATCCACTGTCTCAAGCTGGTTTTAGTGGTTATGCAGTTGGCAAAAACTTTCAGTCCAGCCTGTTCCCTGCTCCTCCTATTGACGATGAAATTATGGTCTCTGTGCAGGTGCGTGAGCACTAGGGCAAGCTTAGGGAAATGGAGATGCCCCGCTACATTACTGAGGTGACAGGACTGCAGGGTGAGCTGCAGTTTGTGGTAAAGGCTCTTGTACACCACTTTTTTACATCTGTAAAATATGCACAGATGTACTGCCAGGCCTCCTTGCATGTTGTGAGTAAAGAGACTCATGCATTCATGTCATATGAGGAGGGGCAGCGGTAGTAGTACAGAAAAATGTGCCTATCTGTTTGAAAAATGAGTTGTACATGTTTGGCACCAGTTCAGATTAGCGAGGTGTGGCCGTTTACAAGGGGCTGTTGCCTCTATAAAAGCCTCCACTTCCTTGGTGGCTGTTCTTTGTGTCATCAGTTAATATCACCTCTTTGGGGCCACGAAGATGTGAGGCAGTAAGGTTATGGCTATGTGAGTAACTTATAGTGCTATAAGGTGAAGTGACATACCCAAGAGGAGATAATTTAAAGTCACCCTATTAGGAATGAGACGCTACTTCTCAGTTATTTGGGGAAAAAGCATTCACATGTGCAACTCTTAAGTTCCCATGGTAGTGTGGTAGCTTTCCTGTGTAACTGTGTAGGTACTGAGTCAGTTTATCCTCTTTATAGTGCATAGAAAATGAATAGCGAAGGAGTTGAAGAGTTGCCTGAAGATGTAATTTGTGTCATGATAAATCCTGCAGTTTGACAGACAGCAGGGCTGTGCTTGTTCATCTTAATGTCCAGATTATTTATGGTCAGATTTTATTGTGCAGTGTTTTTTCACCGAAGAGTTAGGGCCTGGAAGGAACAATTTCTCAAGAAATTTTAGAAATTCTGAGAAAATTGAATTCTGACCATAAAGGAAGAAAATGTAAGTGAACTAATAAAGAATACCTTCTGGTAAAGCCTTGTCACCTTGATCTATAGAGAGCAAGCTGAATTGCCAGCCCCCCTTGAGAAATCATCCATGACAAACTGATTGCATTTGTTGACACATGAAAGCAAGGCTTCTTGATCTGCTTTGGATTCCTAGGTGCTACCTGCTGCTGAGGGTTGTTCTGAGACTTCAGCCTGTGTTCTTGGATAACTACCTGCATCAGTTCAGTGCTTCTCAGTTTTGGTTTTATGCAAGGGGATGCACTTTTCTTTTGGTGTGCAATTCCGGTTAGAGCTTTTTGTACTGAAGACCATTTGATAGTATGACAGATCACTGTTTTTCTTTTTTGCTTTTAATTTAATTTGTTGTTATGTTGAAGGTATTCTGATGCTGCTACTAGATCAATCTGCTGAACACAGCATCCAATGATTTTTTAC